AGCACAGCGGGTCGGATCCGGGACTTGGGCACGCTTGGAGCAGACCCATCGAAATCAATAGGGCTTGAGGTTACCTCGAGTAAAATAATTCCCACTGACTTCGGCAACTGATCAGGTCTTCAGTCCCCAGTCGGTTGCCGTCTCAGGTACGTCCGCCTGCCCCTCCTTTACAGCAAAAAGTTTCTTGAAATAGGAAGTCAGGCGAAAGCTGCGGTGGCGACCGACGTCAGTCTCCGCGGGTCCTGGCGCGCGCCCTCCGGCCCGAGCGCTGTCACTTGTCTGATGCTGCCTCCTCTTGGGGGGGGGGTCGCGCGTCATGGCTGGGGGAGCCCCTTGGGCCGTGGGCGGCTGGCCTTCAGGCCTGTGGTCAGTTCCGACCTGCACCTCTGGGCTGGCTGGCCAGTCTAGGTTCTCACTTGGGAGAAGCCCACCTTTATCCCCCTCAGGAGCCAAACGCATTAGTAAAGCTTTTGTCTCCCCAAAGACATTTTCTTGCCTGAAGAAAAGCAGCAAAGGACAACCCCCACCCCACCCCCATTCATGTAATGGGGCAGAGCATCCCAAGCCAACTGGCTTATTGTGAAACAAGAGAAAACCCCATAAGTATCTCTCACGAAAATACAACATTTATATTTTGTACAATGACATCCAAAATTTGCTGCCTGCAGTGACTGCAGGTCATCCTTCCTAAAAGTACTGCCACCCCTGAATCTGTCGTGCTAGACATGAACACAGAGACATACAGAGATGCCAGAGCAGTAATAGGTTCATGGTAGGGGAAAGGTGTGTTCATTCAAACTATAGACAGAAGTGACCAAAGAATGTTTTTTTAACTCTAGCCACCATTATTCGGGGAGTTGAATAAGTCTGAAAAAGTGACACCCAGGGGACTCTTTCTCCCATTCTTATCCAACTCCATCACTAGAAGAGGACTACACAGTGCCCTTTCACATACCCTCTTGATTTGGCCATACAAGGCAGGAAACAATGGAAAACCCAGAAGTAGAAGGGACTACTGGACTCTGTGTGGTCATGAGGAAAGCCTGATACTTTTGCAGTGGCCAAATTGCGTTAGGAGAACAGGAATTCCATTGTATGTGAGTGAGTGGGCAGGCAAGAGGGGAATAGAGACTCCACCTTTCTTCTGTTTCCAGTACAGAGATAATGCTAGAAGGTTCCTTCTTCCTAGAAGTCAGTAACATCTGTGTACTTATTTATTATCAGATCTATATCCCAAGATTTCACTAAAGCTGAGGATCAAAGTAGTACACGTTAAATAAGAATACACGTAACACAAAAAACAAGATTTGAGTGGTTCAAATTAAAATATTGCTTTAAAGCAATGTTAAATTTTGAAATAAATGTACAAATATAACAGTACCCAGCTGGCAACAAGTCCCTCTCCAGCAGCCAGTGAAGAACTAGAAATCAGCTTATATCTGTGAAGATTCTCAGTTATCCAGGTGATGTTCTCTGGAAGTTGAGTCATGGCCACTGGACTTCTTTCTTGTTAGGTTGAGATGTTCCGCTACTCATCAGGAGATTCCTGATGCTGTATATCCTCCATATTGGTTTCACTTCCATCTGGTCTGAATAGGCTTGTTAGATGGACAAAGGATGGGGGGGAGGGATAATCCCACCTCTGCAGTCCCTCTCCACCCATAGTCATGGGTCTCATTTTGGACTGAGAAGATAGGTGGTGTGAGAGAGAGGGGTCAGGGAGGACATTCATGTGCATATAGAAAATCCCTCACTCAACAGGGGTGGAGGCCTTAGAAACAATCTGTCTCCTATTTATCATGTCCCCAGAAAGATCAGGACCACACCCCCCAGAAAGACACTGTTAACAACCCATAACAAGGGGTGGAGAAGGACTGCAGGGTTGGGATTTCCACACACCCCTTCCTTGGTCCACCTAATGAGCCTATTCAGACCTGGAGGAAGTGAAACCAAGGTGGAGGATATATCAGGGGTCTCCTACCAACTCTGCTCAGACTGAAGAAGTTACTAGGATAAGTAGTGAAACATTTCAACTTAATAAGAAAGAAGTCCAGTTGCTAGAACTTGGCTTGATTTTTTTTTAAGAGAAGTTATCTGATGGTGGACAGGAGAAGAGAAACGTAACATGGAACTTCCCTTGTTAAGACTTTTAGAAAAGGCTGCATTATAATGGAGAAACATCCCTTGGCGAAGAGCAGTTTCTTTGATTAAGGAGTTCTACAGTGGAAAGGAAATACTCATGTCCTAATCTTTTGGTGCCCCTAAAGAAATAGATAAGGCTACCATTTTAAAAATTGCCTTCAGTTTGGGAAGGACATAGAGAGGGATAGAACTAGCATGCTCACATTTATTCTATCCTATTGTCCGAGTGATTCGAACACCTTCACGGTGCTACAGCAAATACAATGGCCAATCACTTAATAAAATAATTCAGTTCCAGAACTTTTCCAGGGGGTGTAGGTGGGGAGATGTTTTAAAATAGAACATCCTGATTTAGTTTATGATGCATCATACAGCTCCCTCTCTTTTTTTTTAAGCCAACGACATACTACTAAAGCAAATGGAAATCACATGCCTTTCTTTTCTCTAGCTAGTGATTCTGCCAGTGGAATATCAAACAGCACTAGTTATATAATAGTCCACTGCAAGCTTTAAATGAGTAATTAGTTCCCACCAGAGCAAGCAGGCTGGGCCATGCAAGGAACACCCTTTGAGGTATTTCAGGGTGATTTCTTGAGTGCTTTCCCATACATAATAGATATCATCCCCTTACTTCATTTTTTTTGGCATTGAAATAAAATATGGTGTGTCCAACTGATTTGGTTGTAGGTATCAGCTGAAGATCCGCTTGCAGTGTGAAGACTAGTTTGATTAGATAAGTTTAGACTTCGACCATAATACCAGAGGGGAGCTCTTTAGGTAAAAGTGTGCATGGCTTCGTTTCATTCAAAAATGTGGTAAATTAACCTACCTGCCAATGGGGTAGTTCCTGCTCACTCTGATGGGAACCTGCATGCACCTCTGTCCTAAAATCATGCCAAAATTGCCCACTGAGCCACAAGCAACCAATGGTGCTCCATGACTAGTGCAGAAGAGTCAAAGTTACGACAAAAGGAGCTATCCGTGGTGCTGAAAATCCCTATTTTGCTTGACCAAAGATATTCCCTGCTTGTGAGCTTAACCCTCGCAGTGAAGCTATTTAAAGGACCTTTTTTTGGGACCCAGCTCCATGAGTGGGATTCTTCTGTTCCTGTTCCCTAACCATTGCCCAACCATTTCCCCCAAATTTATGCATAATACAGTCCAGCATTTGTAAATTATGCTCCTTTTGTTATATATCGGATATGCAGCCTTCTGGTGTCGGAAAGAAGGAAGAAGAGGGAGGGGTAGGATTGTTTTATGTTGTTGTTTCTCTTGAGTTGTGGGGAAACTTGGAAGCTCCAGTCCAATTAAGTGCTGAGCGCACGCAATTAAAGGCAAGTTCTTCCCTGAAATTTGCAGTCTAAAAACAGCTTGAGTGAGACAGAAAATAGAGTGGGTGTCTGGCAGAACCAGAAATCAGACAAAGTCAAGAAAAATTCAACAAGGAGAGGCCACATGGGAAATGGAAATAATGTTGTCCAGGTCTCTGTGGCCCCTTTGCCATGGCTTTGGGGGCCAGGAGGAGAGAACCGAGGGTACCCAACTTGGCAGCAAGCATCTCTGCCTTGTTCTTCAACTTCCACGCTAATCATAGTTATAGCTTGCTCTGCTTGTTCTACTAGTCTTAAAGGCTGACATCATCTCATGTAGCTTGTAGTGGATTAGGCACAGTGAGCTGGTACGTTTCAAATATCAGAAAGGCTTTATCTTCCCCCATTCCCCTGGGCTAAGCAAATGGTCCCCCTCTTCCTTTGATTCTACCCTGTTGTTCCCATCATCCACAAGCTCAGGCTCTTGACTCCTTGGGGGCTTGAGGTTTGAAGGGCTAGGATGTTCTTCTTCCCTGTTGGTTTTGGGAGTGCTGGAGTTATCTTAGATGCAGGTGTCCTCCGACAGGGCCATGACGTGAACCAATTTCTCATCATCCGCCCACCTTGTTTTTGGCTAGAGAAACTGGGCAGATCATTTCATCAAGCCTTTCCAGAGGAAACATCCATGCATTTTGGAGAGGGGCATTAATAGCGATGGCATGGCTTCTTTCTTCTTTCTCCTACAGCTGTTGTTTGTAGCTAACATTTCACTGTCTTCACAATTCCCCAGACTAAATGTCATTCCGTTAGATTTGAGAGTGGGGGTGAGATGGGTGTGTGTATGAGTTGGCAGGCCATAAAAAGAATGAAGAATATT